AGCCCAGAGGCGAGACCCCAAAGATGACACCGGAGGGGCTTCATGCCCAGATCAGAAGCAGGAGGAGAAATCAAATGGACTGGGGCTGGTAAAATGCAGGAAAAATACGGATGTTACATGAGGTACGAACAGCCCCCATCGGGGAATGAAACGCACTTACAGAGGAAGGGAAGGGAGCCTGGATACAATTTTTAGTGCTGGCTGATATGTGGAGCAGAAACAGTCACCAGATGACCCTGAGCCGGGAAACCATGCGAGGACAAACCACACGCGTGCTGGGCTCGGGAGAACTGAAAATCAGGACCAGTGCTTTAATCCCACAGGCCACGCCTGTACGATGGAAGACAGTGGAAACAGGGATTACAAGGCAAAAGTCCAGGCCTCTAGAGGAGAGTAACCAAGTGGGGCAAAGACAAAGGCAAGGACATTCGGAAGTGGGAGGGAGTGTTCCTCCAGCAGCTCCCACCCGTGTCTTCCCTACAAACCGCTTCATTCAACTCCTGCAAATGCTGTGGGACAGCATTTATCAGTCCTGGAGACAGGACAGAGGGGCCAGGCCATGCAGACACCTCACCCAAGGTCACATACCCGGTGGTAACAGCCACCGAATGCCAGGCTCAGGAGCTGCCAGCTACAGCACAGCTGAAAGTGCCTGTTGGGCTCAAATGACTGTGCCCACCAATGCAGCATAAGTAGACTAAAGGCTCACGTTTCTTACTATTTTCTGGCCATGTCTGAGAGTGCAGTCATAGTTGAGTTTATGCACACTGCAGTACCTGTCTGTAGTTTAAAGCATCCAGATAGACCGAGTTTTGAGCAAAAACCACTGATTTACAAGGCATGTTGATTCCTAAGGCAAGTGTCCCCATAGCTGTCACCACCTGGAAAGAGAATAGAACAATTACTTCATAAAACAGCATTTCAGTGGAGGCCACAGAGTAACTGAAACTCCTGCAACTTAGTGAGGTCCCAGAGGGACAGAGACACGAGTGCAAGGGCATTCTCGTGATGTCACAGCACCTCTGGGGCACCCGCCCAGGCCACTCCCGCCACTCAGCTCTGCCCAGAACACCCTTCTCCCAAGTATCTGTTCACCCTGCTCCTCCGGGCCTCCACTTCACGCCAGAGAGAAAGTTCTGGAGCATGACACCCCAAATACCCACCCGTCCTCATGACCCCCCGTGGCGTCAATGACATGACCACAGCTGAGTCTGGTTAAGCCCTGCCCAGCACAGTGTGTCCCCCAGAGCAGAGGGCCTGCGCCGGCCAGTGACTGGGGAACATGCAGAGGGGAATGACCAGAAAGGAACCCTTCACCTGGCGGCCACCCTCTGACAGACCCACGTGGGGGCGGCTGCCTGCTTCACCCACTGTGACATTAGTGAAGCTTATCTCTATGAAAATCACACATCTAAGTAATATGAGCAAAACAATGTTTCAGTTTTCCTCCTGAATTGCCATAATAACTGACACAAAAATTCTAAAGCAAAATTTAATGTTTCTTAAATAATTCACTTTCAGGTGGGTTTTTTCATATAATACTAGGTACGTCTCATTGTCCTCTCTTTCTCTTTATATTGACTGTCGTGAAGTCATGGCTAAGGTTCATGTTTCTCTAATTATTCTCAACCTTAACTCTATAACCTGTCAAAATGAAATACCACTTATGAACTGTTTTTATAAACTTCAATAAGAACACAGATGGGAAAAGTAATAACATTACGTTTAGACTATAACCAGCATAAACATCTTTTTAAAAATGTGTTCTCAATAGCAAAACTATCACTTTTCCAGAATGATCCAGTTTTCCATGTATTAAACTAAGGGTAACTGAGCAACCACCAGTTAACAGGTACTATTTGTGCTGATCAAAACAGGCGCACCGCTTTAACTCAATTCATAACCATGTGAAAAGTTTTCTTTCTGGTTACTGACTTTAAAAATAAGTATGTAACTTGTTATTAGTCAAGGAAAAAACCAAGCAAAGTTGTTAACAATATAGTTTGGTTTTTTCCCAGATTACAGAATTACCCTTAAATTAGGGTGTCAGATTTTCCTCAAGATTTAGTTATTAAGATTAAAGGATACCACCTAGAGTAGCAGAATCAATCTCTCTCTGCACGCGCGTGCACACACACACACACAATGTACATAATACAAAAAATTAATGTGGGTTATTAGAAAAACTTAGGGTCTACTTTAAAATACTACTCAAGGTCTGAATTAACCAGGAAATTATATAAACCATTTCTGTGAATTTATCCAGATGATCCTCGCACATCCTTACAGGACATGCCCCCTACAACACAGGGAGCACTGGGTGGTAAGTCGTACCCTTCCTCCTGTCCACATCAGGGACGGACACAGGGAGTGTAACACGCCCCCTACAATGTAGCGAGCACTGGGTGGGGAGAGGTACTCTTCCTCCCACCCACATCAGGGATGGACGCAGGGCATGCAGGATGACCCTGTGCCCAAAGTCGGTCGAGACGCACAGCGGGCCCCGAGGGTGCAGCACATTTTT